TGAGCGCGTTAGGGCGTTTCTGACGGGGCTGCGGCGTTGGGTCTGATTCCCGGGGCTGCCTTCGAGGTGTAACGAAAAAAATACAAATTAATCTGAGAAACTGGCCAGCGGGAGCAGGGACGTGATCGTCCCCCTGTGCCCGGTGAGGCCGCACCTCGAGTGCTGGGTTCAGTTTTGGGGCCCTCACTACAGGAAGGACATGGAGGTGCTGGAGTGTGTCCAGAGAAGGGCAACAAAGGAGGGGAAGGGGCTGGAGAACAAGAGTGATGAGGAACGGCTGAGGGAACTGGGGTTGTTTAGCCTGGAGAAAAGAAGGCTCAAGGGAGACTTTATCACTGTCTACAACTACCTGCAAGGAGGGCGTAGAGGTGGGTGTTGGTCTCTTGTCCCAAGTAACAAGTGATAGGACGAGATGAAATGGCCTCAAGTTGTGCCAGGGGAGGTTTAGGTTGGATATTAGGAAGAATTTCTTCACCAAAATGGTTGTCAAGCATTGGAACAGGCTGCCCATGGCAGTGGTGGGGTCACCATCCCTGGAGGTAGATGTGGTACTTAGGGACATGGTTTAGAGATGGACTTGGCAGTGTTAGGTTTACAGCTGGACTCAATGATCTTAAAGGTCTTTTCCAACGAAAACGATTCTATGATTCTGTGACATGAGGGGGTATTCCAGTTACAGCAGGCACAGCTCCAGAGGCAAAGGGTGATGTAGCTACCCTACCAGCTGTACTGGAAGGTAACACTGCCATGAACTGTGCCATCAGCTTCAGGTGACATCAGTTTAGCCACAGCTGCTCCTTCAGATCTTTGCCTGACATGCTTTTCTGACTAGCTGTCTGTTACGTTTACATAATCTGCCTGTTTGACTTCTCTCTCAGTTGTGCATTTGTACAACTATATTTGCACTGTTGCCCAATTACCTTATTTTTCCAGTGTTACCAGTAGGCTATTTTTCCTCAATGCAAAATCTTGTAGTTTGAGTTGGACTAACCTCACATACAAAAATTTTAAGAAGCAGGATTTCCTTTGTTAGGCAAACTATACCCAAAAGGAGTCATAAATGCTGCTTACGTTTTGAGGCCAGCACAGGTCCTTTGCATTTGCTGGTTTTCATTTCTTTTTTGCTCTATGACAGAGAGGCTAGAAAACATGTATAGTAGGGGAGTGATTTGATCTGCAATTGCAATTCTATTTGTATGGAAAGAAACTCTAGTTTCTGCTAGTTTCTGTAATACCAGTTTCTATTTCTAGTTTCTATAATACTGCTCTAAAAAAAGTAAAAATTTAGAGGTGGCTTCTAAAATAATATTATAACTGCTCTTTATTAGAGCAATATTATAATATTTCTGGGGGAAAAGGCTTAATTTTTTTTTTCTATTAGGAAAATCAGTGTCTTATACATCATTCAAACCCACTCACATCTTTCAATAATAGTTTTGTCTATCAGCTTGAGACCCCAGAAAATAGTCTTAGGGCAACTGTGACAGAAGACAACTAATAGAAATTAATTTTTATTCCAGCTCACTTCAGCTAAACTGCATATAATACAGGGATGCTGCTGTAAAATGAAATAGCCCAGGAAAAACTGAAATTTGTTAGCAAACTGTGAAGAGCTGTCTGAGATACAGGAGAGGTAGGCTCAAATCCCCGCTTCAAAAGATAACCAGTGCTCTGATTACATATCCACTGTCCAAGGCTAATGCTCTGTTCTGAGTTGCAGCACGGCCCCTGGCATCAGGTATCAGACGGCACGGAGTTTGAAAGGTTGTGCAAATTCACATTACTAAAGTGTATTAATTGGTGATGCTAATGCACTTGAAAAATAGGAGAGATGGTCAGAGAAGGGTACTGTCTAGTCCTTCTGCATAGTTTCTGCACTATAAGGAATGCTTTCAGATTCCAGTTACACTTAATTCCTCTTGCTTCTTCATCCGTGTCCATTTTAGTATTTGATAGCTGTGGGGAGTGTGGGAGCGTGTGTTGGCATACCCTGAGAGAACTGTGGGACCTGAAGGGATACATGTCTGGAGATATGAGAAGCACCTGCATCGACAAGGCCTGAGAAAGGAACCTTGAAATGCATCCAAAAGACGTACCCTGGCAAGCAAACAGGAAGGGATGCAGGCAAAGTCCACCAGCCAATTAGGGGCATGTGAACTGCTCGTGCTGCGAGTGAAGAGCCAGTAACATGTTAACGGGTGTGGGTGATTTCATTAGTTTTGGGGTATAAATATAACTGTATTAGAACAATGGCTTCTTGCTTGATCATATTGATCGTGTAGCAGAGTCCATGATTGAGTTCCTGCAGATAGCCCTTTTAGTTTCTTTCCTCACTGTACTTAAGCTCAGGCCTTGAATTTTAGTTTATATTGTTGGAGTGTACTATGTAAGACTGTATGGTTTGAATTCCTGTTCATATCCAGGCGTAAGCATCTTGATTTGCTTTAGTTTATCATCTCCTATGCATGTTCAGCCTCTGCTAGGAGAAAAATCTTCTGCCTGTATACAGCAATTACAGTCAAGGTGTTCAAGTAAACATTCCTATGTCTTAGGATGGATTTGAGATTTTTTTTCAGGACAGAATTCTTATCTTTTTGCTCCAGGGAAATAACTCACCTGTCTATCCTGCTCCCTTCTCCAGATGTGCAAGAAATATTTGTAGAGAAGCAGCATGGGAAGATAATGGATTTATTTTAATCCAAAGATTAGATGTAGTTTTCCAGTGAAAATGGGCAGTCACACATATATATATATATATATATATATATATATTTCCTTAGATGCTACATAAATTTTTAGGATATTGAGAGGAAAGATTATACAGGTATTAAAAGTACAAGAAGGAAAAATGAAATGCAAAAATTCCTTTTGTTGGTGTTTGAAGTTAACAGACTTGGTTGCATTTAATGGCATATTGGATAGATTACACAAAGTTTTCCCACACCCACCAGTAACAACATCCCACAGCTTGGAAAACCACATTCTGCTTTGTAGCAAGTGTCAGTATTCTGCAGGTTGTATTAGGAAGACAATGCTGCCTATGGCCACCTTTCCAAACAGGCATTTAGGTTCAATCCGTATGGGGACAGCAGTGTTTTGGGCATTTTTAGGCAAACCACCAGTGATGACAAGCCTCGGGGTAAACTGCTCCCTAGCCTGCTCCCTGCTGAGTGCAGCACATCCCTATGGCAAACACAGTGCGATGCAGGGATTCTCGGACTGAGGGCAGCCTCATCCACTAAACCTGCAATAGTGCAGGGAAGTACCAGCTCAGACCTGAATCTACTTTCAGCAGGTATTATTTGCATAGTGCTACACTTAACTACATCTTTTTTCTCTCTTTGAGAGACTTTTCTTCTTTCTGTTAGGACAAAGTCTGGGATGTAGCATTCCTACTTTCCAGGGTACTGAACCACTAAGCCACTGTGTTTGCAGAAGTCTAGTATCTGGTTTAATGGGATTATTTCTCCTTGTATAGTCTCTCTAGAAAAATAATTAAGCTGCAGATGATTAGCTAAAGCGAGACAGTTTCTATTCTGATACTGCCTTGCATTGAGTCCAACAGGGTCAGTGCCAGCCAAGGGGTGGACTCTGGTGGGACAACACCGACTGAGGTTCTGCTCCGAGACTAGACTGTGAACTGCTCAAAACATAAAACCACAGATCTAGACAAAACTTCTGAGGCTCCCAGATGTAGCTACATACTTGCTTTAGGAACTAGGCAAATCCTGGCTACATTATTTCCTTTGGGGGAATTTAGCTGTTGCATTGCTATTATACATACGTTTTCTTCTTCACTCTGACTTCAGAATATCGTTAAAGACACAGGGGTACCTTCAAGAAGTTAATTGTTTTCTTTCGTCAAATCTGTAGAAACTTGTAAATTAAACTGGTTGAACACCAATTATTAGTCAACATTGCCATAGGACATTGTGTTTTACTGTATGCTCTAAAAACAATGAAATAAACATAAACATTCTAATCACTTTTACGACGTTTATCAAATCGCTCCAGTAAAGCCTTCCATATGCTGCCTGGGATTGTTTGGTGCTTGCTTATGAGAGCCTGGACAGCAGTCTTTGTCTGAAAAGAGAAGAGAAAGTTGCCTTACAGACCTCCTTATGCAAGGAACAACAATATAATCACTGACTTCTTCTCAGAGGTTCAAGAGGTATTGGGAAATTCACACCTAAGATCTACTTTAAGAAAAAAGTTGTGTTTTCTATTAGTTCGTTGTCCTAACATCACTTTCCTTGGAAAGGAAAGGCAGAAGAACATTCACTGCAGTTTGAATAGGCTCCAGTTATTGAGATTTATCAAACCTGGGCATCACTGAATCAAAGTAGCATTTAACACATGCAAACTAAGTTTGTGTGATCAACATCCGTGAAGGTTTTATTCAAAAGTACTGGGTAAAGCCTGACTAACCTCATCTGATCTCATAACTGACCTTGCTGGGACCACAAATTTGGAGTACAGACCTCCACCTGTTCTTCCCAATGTGAATTCTTCCCTAAGTGTATCATATACAGCATGCACATAATAAGAGAATTTGTATTGAGGCCTGTGTCCAGTGGAGTCCCTCAGGGGTCAGTACTGGGACCAGTATTATTCAATATATTCGTCAATGACCTGGATGAGGGAACAGAGTGCACTGTCTGCAAGTTTCCTGATGACACAAAGCTGGGAGGAGTGGCTGACACGCCAGAAGGCTGGGCTGCCATCCAGTGAGACCTGGACAGGCTGGAGAGTTGGGCAGGGAGAAATTAAATTAAATACAACAAGGGCAAGTGTAGGGTGTTACATCTGGGAAAGAACAACCCCAGATTCCAGTATAGGCTGGGGACAGACCTGTTGGAAACAGTGTAGGGGAAAGGGATCTGGGAGTCCTGGTGGACAGAAGGAGCCATGAGCCAGCAGTGTGTCTTTGTGACCAGGAAGGCCAATGGCATCCTGGGGTACATTAGGAGTGTGGTTAGTAGGTTGAGAGAGGTTCTCCTCCCCCTCTACTCTGCCCTGGTGAGGCCACATCTGGAATATTGTGCCCAGTTCTGGGCCCCACAGTTCAGGAAGGACAGGGAACTGCTTGAGAGAGTCCAGCACAGAGCCACCAAGATGATTAAGGGAGTGGAGCATCTCCCTTATGAGGAAAGGCTGAGGGAGCTGGGTCTCTTTAGCTTGGAGAAGAGGAGACTGAGGGGTGACCTTATTAATGTTTATAAATATGTAAAGGGCAAATGTCATGAGGATGAAGCCTGGCTCTTCTCAGTGATGTCCAACAGTAGGACAAGGGGCAACAGGTACAAGCTGGAGCATAGGAGGTTCCATGTAAACATAAGGAAAAACTTTTTCTCTGTAAGAGTGACGGAGCACTGGAACAGGCTGCCCAGGGAGGTTGTGGAGTCTCCTTCTCTGGAGACATTCAAAACCTGCCTGGACGCCTTCCTGTGTGACCTACTGTAGGTGTTCCTGCTCTGGTGGGGGGGTTGGACTAGATGATCTTTCGAGGTCCCTTCTAATCCCTAACATTCTGTGATCTAAATTCTGTTCATTTTTCTTTCTATATCTACCAGGGACAAGAAATAATCTTCCTTAGTTTTCCCTCAAGTATTTAAACTTGAAATAAGGTTAGCTACATACTCCAGTGATCTACCCTAGAGTGATGGTAGAATACCACTGGGAATATAAGAAAAGATTAGCCAAACCTTTCCTGACAGATTCATGTCCTGACTCCTTTCCAGGGCAGGATCAGATACAAGTCAGCCAGGCCATTGCTCATCTCAGACCCCATTTAAGTTGTTGGGGTTTTTTGACTAATATGAGCCACAGAGGACCTAACCGTACCCCCACTTCTTGGCTTAGTAAAGCAAATCAATGTCATGGGAAATTTCAGTTCCAGTTTTGCAGGTGCACAAAATACCGTTCCCCCAAAATACAAGGGTATGGATAACCATGGGAGCAGTCTTAGCACTAATATTGCTTCCAGCCTCCTAAACCTGCTAAGACCAAACTACACTCCTCTTGCTGGGGCAGTTCCCTTGTAACAGAGCGAACCTGTCTTTCTGGTTTCACTGCTAGAAATCCCAGACCAATCTGCAGTAGATCCTTAAAAAAAAAAAAAAAAAAAAAAAAAGGCTGGAAGCTGGCCTTCTTGCATCTTTTTGGGAGCAACAAGGTGTTTTTTACATCATTGATTCCTAACAAGTGTTTTGATCTGTGTATTCCTAGGCCGTAGCAGATTTTTTTTTTGCATTTTTTTTTGCCCTCCTTTTATCTTCTATGAAAAAATTTTAACGGTGTATTTTCTGTATAGATTAGTATTTTGAAAAATGCCTAAACCCTGGATCTATAAACGTTTTTATGCTCCTGGGCACCACTGATTTTACCAAGCTGTAGGTACTAAAAATATTTTTGTATTTTGGATTTTTTAACATTTTTCTTTTGACAATGAGACTGAAGCTCTTGTGGAGCTTTGTTTCTAGAGCCCAATGTTATTTAGAGAAGGTTCTCAAAGGTATTTGTTATATATGAATTTTTTTTTTTCCTAGTTACTGAAAACTGATAACATAGTTTACATCATTTCATCAAAGGCATGGGAAAAACAAATTTAGCATCCCAAGAAGACAGAGCTCACATTCTGAAAGGATGAGGACATCCCAATCAACTATTACTATGCCAGTACTTGCTTGTAGGTATCTGTACATTAAATAATCCTGGAGCTCAACTGCCCAATGCTTTAACAAGCTAGTAAAAGTGTATTTTGTCTTTATTCAAGCATACAAAAAATTAGTTTCAAGTTCATATAGAATAGAGGGCAGAGTGTGTAATTCAATATTGCAAGGAGAGCTAACTTACCTTTTCAACTAATTCCTCTGTAGTTATATTGGGATCGTATGGGATTGGCTCCCCGATGTATGTGCGAAATTTAACTGGCAGTCCTCCGTACGGAGGAGTTAACGGCAACCGAGTACTTTCATACAACTGTCTAAAAAATCCTGAAGGAGTTTAAGGGAGGAAAAAGTGAGATTATAGACACAGAAAATACAATCCAAACTTGAAATCTGATTCATATGGAAGACTTCTTAAAAATGCATGCTTTACCTGACAGTCAAGAAGAAATCACAGGATTTAGGTAACTGTCCACCAAAACAAAGCTCGATAGACTTAATAGATGGCTGAAATAAGACTGCATTGAAGAACCAAATCACACAGCACAAACCAGTTACACACAAGCTGTTTCCACATTTGAGATACCTCTGACCCATAGCAAGTGTATTAGAGAATCCAAAGTAATCAGAAGTCTGAAAAGCAAAATCTAAGAGAAAAGTGAGAGAAATCTGAGAGAAAAGTGGAGAAAACATTCCAAATACTTAAAATATATTTTAAAGTTCTTACTTCTTTCTTTAAACATCCTGTATCCTTCCCGGACATTTTGAGTATACATTGGAATGATGGGCTAAGGAATCACAAAAAAACAAAAATATGGAAATGTTATACCACATTTGAATTGATGTTTTAGTGCCTGTTAATACAGCTAAGAAAATTGCTTGGATACAGAGGATAATTATCAGTCAGTTAAGTACAAAACAAGGAATCTTGTTATAAAAAAATTAACTCCAGAATAGAAATAAAATTCTGTTTCTCAGCTCCCACAAGCATTGCTTTTTTAAAGTCACCATCTGTAAGGAAACTGACTGACATTGTCTTAGAGGTTCATATGTTTCATTTTGAATGTACACTATAAAAGTTAACTGAGATTCTAAAAAAAATAACTTGTTTGTTATTTATTTATTGCAGTATCACTGACTGAAACATAAAATGAAGTTTTGCAGTTTCCCTGTCTAAAGCTTATATCATGTGATGAATAGGAAAGTATTTAGTTCAAGAAGTCTTGCAGAAAGCAAGCAGACATTCACATTTGGCTCATCTCATCTGCTTCTCAAAGTAAGATCTCACTGAAGCAGTAACATTTGAATGATACTCCACTGGAAAAAAACTTCTGCAGATCCCTTGGACAAATAAGGCAATTGTATGTCCTCATTGACCTGGTCTACACACCTTCTGGAGGGCAGATCCTTAGGCAGTTGCAGAACAAGTTCACTTCATTATTGTGACTAAAAAGAAAGACACTTGAGATACCTGAAATTAAACAATCATGTCTTGCAGCCTGAGGTAAGATTTCACAGTTTGTAGACAAACTTACAGTGATTGTATCCATACATACAATTACTTTTTCCCCCTCTATTGTTGCTTTTCATTTTTTTGAAACCATATTTTGAGCATATTCTTGGAATTACTTGTCCAGAAGTGAATGAAAGACCATCTTTATGCTGTTAAGAATCACTACCACAGAACAGAAACCATAGGATGAGAAAAAAGCAAGCAAGGAAGAGACCTAACTAGAGCCTAACAAAGAACTCAAAGTGATGGAAAACATTTAAAGGAAAAAAAGCCTGACAGATAACAAAAATATCAAATATACATGAAATTGTAATAGTAAACCCTTCAGAATGAGAAATTATAGAAAATTATTAGAAATAAACCCTTGAAAAATAATCAGTAACAGCTTTTTAAAGCAAATAACTACTGGACACTAAAAATACTACAGTTAGCTTCAGCTATTGATTGAATACTGTATCTCTAACATTTAAAATGTTTGAAACCCACCTATCTTATAGGCAAAATGCTTTAAATTTTAGGAATAGTGCAAGAGAAACATGTCTTAGGCTCTACCTGGAGTACTGCATCCAGTTCTGGAGCCCCCAACACAAGAGAGACCTGGATCTGTTAGAACAGGTCCAGAAGAGGGCCACGAGGATGATTCGAGGGCTGGAACACCTCTCCTATGAAGACAGGCTGAAAGAGCTGGGGCTGTTCAGCCTGGAGAAGAGAAGGCTTAGGGGAGATCTTATAGCGGCCTTCCAATACCTGAAGGGGGCCTATAAGAAAGCTGGGGAGGGACTTTTCGTTAGGGCAGTTAATGACAGAACTAGGGGGAATGGCTTTAAACTGAAAGAGGGTAGGTTTAGATTAGATATTAGGAAGAAGTTCTTTAGTGTGAGGGTGGTGAGACACTGGAACAGGTTGCCCAAAGAGGTTGTAGATGCCCCCTCCCTGGAAGTGTTTAAGACCAGGGTGGATGAGGCTTTGAGTAACCTGATCTAGTGTAAGGTGTCCCTGCTCATGGCAGGGGGGTTGGAACTAGATGATCTTTAAGGTCCATTCCAACCTAAACCATTCTATGATTCTATGATTCTATGATCAGCCAATGAAGTACAGTGGGTGGCAGTATTCAGTCCCTGAGCTGACAACATAAAAGCTTGCATCTAAAGCAGCACAATCAGATCTGCAGTAACCCACAGATTTAGATTTGCTGTGCTGGAACTGAGCTGGATCACACCCAGCCAGCTTGAAAAATCACAGAATCACAGGACAGTTGAGGTTGGAAGGGGCCTCTGGAGATCATCTCATCCAAACCCCTTGCACATACATAAGCATTTTATAAACTGTAGTCCCTGTTCATCTTTTACCTAACTAGACTTGAACCATTTTTTTTTTGGCACAGATAAAATGCAAGGATTTTCAGAAACTACAATTCCTCCCCATTAGCCTGTTAAACTCCAGCCATAGACAGAGGGCATTTCTGAAGCTCAGGCCCCTGGCATAGATCAGTTTGACTGAGACAAACGTAAGTCCCAGAAGTTCACTGAGTCATAACATTAAATAGTAACAGTCTCCATCTCTGACCCCAAGTAAGCAGAGTAGTTATACAAGATGAAGTGGAAACTGAATGTAGAAACAACCTGTAGGCAAGGACTGAGGCTGAAACTACGTTCCTTGTTTGCTTTTCTTCAACTTTTTCACTGGAAAAGGTTCTTCACCCAGAGGGTGGTGGAGCACTGGAACAGGCTCCCCAGGGAGGTAGTCACGGCACCAAGCCTGACAATATTCAAGAAGCATTTGGACAACATGTGCCTTCAGACACATGGTCTGAATCTTGGGATTGTCCTTGCTAGGGCAAGAGTTGGACTCGATGATCATTGTGGGTCCCTTCCAACTCTCAAAATTCTAGGATTCTATATATAAAAGTTGTTTTGTCTTGAAATCCCCATCCAAGTCATCCGTGGTAGTTTATAAACCACCATGGAGTCATTTTGAATACTGTCAAGTGTTCATGGTTCTTTAGTTGATCACTACACTGTATGTAGAATAAATTCAAAAAAGGCACTTATCTTGCCTTCATCCAGGATCCAAATAAGTATTAACAAAGCATATATGAATTGCTGCATTATAGAGCACATTCTGATAATTTAGATGAGTCTAACCCCAGTCTTCAGTCAAACCTACAAGACTGGTTTGGCCAGTATTGAAAAGGATGCAGCAAGAACAAACAGAAACAATCAAACTCCAAATCTGTCAAAAGATGGAATACAGTTACTACTATGGGCCAAACTTTATATAAGAAATGGTATACAAAGTTAGTAGATATAGTAGCCTCCTCTAATGTTAAATGCACAGCACTTCTAAGTGTTGCATTATCCAAGGTGTGTCTGATCACAGATTTCCAGAGAAATATCAATGATGCCCCTAATTCAGTGTAGCCTTGCAAGCTAATTGCAGTGATGCTCACCACACTGGGATCCAGTCAGGCTTCCTGATTATAAAAAAACCCAAAAGTGAATGAGTGCAATAATAGGTGATACAAGAGCCAGCAGCACTGTAAAGGTGAGCTCAAGCTAATAGGTATCCAAAGAGAAAATACTCTCTCTGCCCTCCAGGTAACAGACAGTCCTACAGTGTCCATTTTACCAAACATGTTGTACAAATTACAAGAACCTTTCACCACAAGTACCTTATCCTCAATGAATACCTAATTCATTAAGTAAAAAACCTCACAAACCCTGTCAATAAAAGGTGATAGCAATTTTAGGTCCTACTGTTCATCTATTTCCATGTGCTTCTAAAACATGACTTTTAAAAGGCCACATAACAAGACAAACAAAGAGGTAGAAATAGGACTCCCAGCCTAAAATTATTTTATCCATTGGGTAAATGCCCCTACATTTATTCTAGTGTTTAGTTATCTCCCCACAAGATTTCAGAGACAGATAAAGTTATGAAGAGAAATTAACATGAAGCATGCATTTTGCAACCCTAGGTACTTTGCAGTAGGAGCTATAGCACAAGAGACTAAAGTGAAGTTTGAGAAGCAACAAATTAGATGGGGCAAGAAAGAGTTTTTTGCTCAAAAAAAGTGAAAGGTATGGTAAGAAATTCAAGTTCCATGGGAAGAACTTGGCTCCTTGTACAAATCCTCCTATATAGACAAAAAATAATTGTTTGTGTAGGAGGCCAAAGAAGAGCACTACAATTAATGAGATATTCATAACAATGTAAAGAGAAATAGTGGTTTTACTATTCATGAGAAAGCAAGAGAAAGCTCATGGCAGAATAGATGAAGCCTGGATGTGTACCAGTATTGTCAGACTCAGAGAGCACTAGGTATGCCAGGTCTAAATTAAGACAGAAAATTTGTCTCTAGTGGTGCTGATGATGAGAAGTGACAGTTAGGAAAAAGACAGGGTTGCTGTTCTTTCAGCTCTATGCCATCCCAAATAAAATTATTTCACAAAGACTATATCAGAGAAACAGTCTCACATGTGGAATTAGATTGAAGAAGTCAGAGCCAGGGGTAGAACTTTGTATTTGTAGATCATCATCCATATGGAAAATATAACTGAAACTGTGGCCATGTATACATTAGTAGAGTGCAAACAAATGGAAGCACATCTCTAGAGGATGCTGAGGATCTGGTATCAACACTGAACACATTTCAGTGCTCTGTTTTTTTGTACAACTAATTCTTGTCTGCTATCATTGAATGAATACCCATTTGCAACTGGAGAGTATTAGGTCCCACTTTTGGTTTAGTTTCAGCCAAAAGGAACGCAGCTCGGGTATTCTAACACATTCCATGATGTGAATGAAAGCATGGTAAGTGAGGGAGATGGAAAAACTGCTTCAAACATGCATACACAATTCAAATTCAGACACTGCTGTAGACACACCTTGTGTTAGTTCATGCAATCTTTCACAAACATGAAGGAAAGTAAGGGTAAAGACAAAATTCTGGACCCTCCCAGAATAAATGAGAAGAGAGAGAGATAAGGATAACACATTAAAAAGCCATAGGAAAATGACTGGGTATATAGAAGGAAGATAAAGATACAAGTCTAGTAGGATAAGAAAGAAGAATGAAATGTTACAGCAGTGTGGAGAAGGACCACAGTGAAGATTCCTCAAGGCAAGAAATTAGATGCCTGCATGATAGAACTGTAGACATGGAACTGCAGAGATGGATGCCTTGCAACAGTCAAGAAAAAGCTATACAGTTCTATAAAACCCTTGCTCCCTACAGATTTATGTGCTTTAGGGAACTGGTGGGGAAAGAAATCTTTACTCTCAAAACTTTTCTTCTGTTTGGAAGATTTTCTAACAAGCACTCCTAAGATACATTTTATAGTGAAGCATGTATGCAGTAAGCATAAACTGGGACTGGTAACATATAATACTCACCACTTTTGCATCTAGAGCGACCTGAGCAAAGCCTTTTCGATTTCCCCACATGAGCTGATAACTTTCATCACTGAATAGTGCTTCTCTAACTCCACCTGGTGAGACAGACACCAAGTATCCATTCTTCAGTGCAATGAGACACTCCTCCCTTGTACCTGGCATAACACCCGTCACTTCCAATAATAATTTAAGTCCTGCAATAAATAAGTAGCAAATACATATTATTCTAACAATATATCACAAATACTGCTTGCATGTAGGAACAAGGTTACAGCTAAATTAAGATCTAATAGGTATATATTTAGACTAAGGCAAATTTGTGTGAAGGAAAGAAAACATCTACAGGGTAAATACTGGCAAAATGACAAATATGTGATAGTGTTTTTGCCCAAATGTTATGAAGATGAACCAGCTTATCAGAAGCATCTCAATAAACTAATGCCTCCACATGCTATTTTCCATTATTATCAAAACACCAGCCATGCAACTGAAACTTGTGCATCATAGCTGGAAATCTGAAAATAAAAATCTATTCCTCACTCCTTTTAAAATATTTTAATACAGAAAAAATATAACTTTTCAGTACAATAAAATTACTACAAAAATAAATACCTGACAAACAACTATTTTTAGTGTTCTTTTAAAATGTGAAGTTTAACATTTTAAATGTTGAGGTTTTGTCATTAAATTGAGTATTTTGCAATTAAATTGCAAACTGGGTGGATCAAACTGGACTGCTGTACGACTCTTAAGATGCATGCATGGCAGAAGTTAGCAGGGCAGTTCCAGCACTGCATGAACAGTTCAGTGAATCTCCTGCCTTTGTTTCCATAACTGGGATTTCTCCAAAAGACAGACTGAGAACCATAGGAGCACTGTACGTTTTCTTATATTGTCTTCACGTTTTAAATCTATCCATTTGGAACTTCCATAGAGAGCTTCAGCAAATGAGAGTCTCCCCAATCTTCAAATTCACTGTTCCAACAGCATAGTTTGCAAATAAATTGTTTATATTAATAAATGTAAACAACAGCTATGGATTGCCAGAACTGATGTCTAGCACTGCAACTTTGACAAAGGTCTGCAACAGAAATCTTGGAAGACATGAGAAAACACAGTGCTGCATCTTGTAATTTAACTGCATTTAATCTTATTCAAGGCATCATACTTTACAGATCTTTCTTTCAAAGACATATGTTGACCTCGTTTAATCCTTTTGTGAACTCATATCTTGTTTTATCCTGCAGCCAGGAAT